AGCTGAGCCATCCTGCCACCTGTTGGCAGCTCAGCAGCAGCTCACCTTGGGCACAGCTCAGGTAAAGCTCACTGGCCCATGTGAGCGGCTCCAAGCCCATGAAAATACTGGGAGTTGCTTAGACCCATTTACCAAAAGCAGAGGGCCTAAACTTGCAGCCCATAGCCATTTCAAACCTGCGTGCATGTTTTTTGACATAATTGTATCAGTTATCTATCACTGCTTAATAAACCACTTCAAAACCTAGTAGCATATTTGCTCACAATCCTGTGGGTCAGCAATTTGGTCTAGGTTTAGCTGGTTGTTCTCCTGGTGGTCTCACCTGGGGTCACTCGTGTCTGCAGTCATCTGGAAACCAGATTGCCTCATTCGCAAATCTGGCAATTAGTACTGGGCTAGTGCCTGAACTTCTCTCTCCACGTGGTCTCTCATTCTCAAGGAGGCTAAACCAGCTTCTTTGCATGGTGGTCTCGAGTACCAAAAAAATGGACAAATCCTAAGGCATAAGCACTTTTCAAGCCTCTTCTTCTGTCTTGTTTGCTATTATTCAAAGTAATATTCAAGGAGGTTTTAAAGAGAGAGAGAGAGAGACCATCTCTTGATGAGAGGAGTAGCAAAGTCACATTGCATACAAGGATGGGAGGAAATGGTTGCTGTCTACCATAGTAGTTTTATTCATTCACTCATTCATTCATTCATTTGTTTGTTCTAGTTGCCAATATTTAAACATTGGAGCATCATGTAAAAGTCTCATCTGGAAAAATCACCTAGCCTACTCAATCATTTACATTTCCTGCCTGGTCTGTTGCATTTGGGTTTGTGATAATAAAGCCTAATTTACCAGATTGTTTTTGTGAAATTAAATGAAGGAACATCTATGGAAAATTCTAGCAAAAACAGACATTCGATACATGGTTTCTTCCTTCCTGAAGACGATTAGCCTTGAAGCTGATACTTGACCAGAGCTAAGGAGAACAGCCAATATGAAGGACAAGGAAGTCATGGACAGGTGACTGGAAAGTAGTCCCTTGGTCTCTTTTTAGAGAAATAAAGGTATTAGGAAACAAGATCCTTAAAGAATTTATAAGAATTTAAGAAATGAATTAAGGGCCGGCCGAGTGGCTCAGTTGGTTAAGAGCTCGCTCAAGAGTGTGAGCTCTGAGCAACAGCGGTTCAATGCCCGGCCCGAGCTGAGCTGCCACTGAGCTGCCAACAGGTGGCAGAATGGCTCAGCTAAAAGAAAGAAAGAAAAAAGAAAAAAAAAGAAAAGAAATGAATTAAGAGGAGCAATAGTAGGGCCGGCCGAGTGGCGTGATAGTTAAGAACTGGCTTGGGACGCCAGAGGGCCCCGGTTCGGATCCCACATATGAGGGCCAGTGACACTGCCCTCCACAGCTAAGATGCTGAACAACA